GGACAGACTGTCTGGGAGCTGTCAAGGCAATTGTGCTATGCTTTTAAAATGTCAACATAATTCCATTATTTTGACAAAATATTGAAACCATATCAGGGCACATGGAATCCAATAGATGCAGCCAGTTCACCAGGAAGTTCAAGGCTAGAATTTCCACCAAATTTTGCTTAAAGCAAAATTCAAGGGGAAAACACACGATTCTGCTTAAGCAAAACAACCGAGGATGCTCAAGCAACTTCCCAAAAAGATGAGTGCAGTTTATTGTGTGTGTGGTGCAATACTGCTCACATCAGTTAAACTCCACTGAAAAGAAATGTAGCTACCGAAAAAAATGCTGCAACTATTCATTTCAATGTACTTTGTGTGAGAATAATTTTTGGTGGACTGTACCCCATGTTTCCATAAAAGGTGTGAGAAAGTTTCACTGTAGGGTGGGGGTCGGGGAATGGATGGTATATATTGGCTATAACATTCAAGTGCAACTGAACAGTTCCACAAGGACGTTTAACTGCACTCTCTTCTCTCTCAAACCCTTCAATTGGTTCAGGGGTTCCGCTAACTCTCCAGAGCAGATTTAGGGGTTGTGTGGAGAGATGGGAAGGTGGTGAAGTTCTACTGTGCAGTTAAAAGTCCTTGTAGTAGTGGAACTGCTTAGCTGGCTACTGCCCAATGATTGTTTTGTTTGTCAAAGGCATATAATGGAATCAATTCTGCATGATTCACTTGCCTGTACTTTACTGGATTATAGTTTCTCATTTACAGTATCAAATTAGTAACACAATCTAGAGGGCATTCTCCCCCCCCCAACAGCTACAATATCATTCATAATACAGTGGTACCTCGGGTTAAGAAGAAGAAGAAGAAGAAGAAGAGTTTGGATTTGATATCCCGCCTTTCACTCCCTTTAAGGAGTCTCAAAGCGGCTAACATTCTCCTTTCCCTTCCTCCCCCACAACAAACACTCTGTGAGGTGAGTGGGGCTGAGAGACTTCAAAGAAGTGTGACTGGCCCAAGGTCACCCAGCAGCTGTATGTGGAGGAGCGGAGACGCGAACCCGGTTCCCCAGATTACGAGACTACCGCTCTTAACCACTACACCACACTCCGTACTTAACCTGAAACTGTTCTTAACCTGAAGACCACTTTAGCTAATGGGGCCTCCTGCTGCCTCCAGAGCACGATTTCTGTTCTCACCCTGAAGCAAAGTTCTTAACCTAAAGCACTATTTCTGGGTTAGCAGAGTCTGTAACCTGAAGCGTATGTAACCTGAAGCATATGTAACCCGAGGTACCACTGTAAATTCTGTCAAAAATATGGCTGCTGTGATTTTAGTGTGAGTGTGTGTGTGTGTGTGTGTGTGTGTGTGTAGTGTATATATATAGTGTATATATATATAGTGGCTGCTCATCAGTAATATATCCCTGGTGGCTTACAAACATGACACAGCCTAGGAATCATTTTTATGTGCCCCTTTTGTGGTTCATGTCCTTAGCAATGCTTAATTCTTTCATTTGTGCTCACTAATGGGATGATACTAGACACCACATCACAGTTATTCCAGATTCATACAGTGCAATCTGTTACACAACACAGGACAAACGCTAGGAAACCACTGTATGAATGCAAGAATTCCTACCTCTTTTGTGGTTTGCAACTTGAACAGAAGAAACAGTAGACAAAGCTAATTTTGGAGCAACTGGATAGGTTTAAAAAATGAAGAGTAGATTAGGAAATTGTCATATAGGCACAAGTTTAAAAAACCAAACAGAACCTAAGATGAATTTGTTGCAGCCCTAATATAAACTCACATGGGAGTAAATATTTTGAACTAAATGGGAGTTTCTTTTGCATAGACATGTACAGGATTGCACTATTGGTAATACTGGATGTGGATATTTATGTATGATATATTTGTAAAATAAAACAGGTTTATCTAAGGAGTTAGGTATCCTGGCTATGAAGCTTAAACAGGTGACCTCAGAGAACCCTCACTACTATAAATATAAAGTTAATTAAAACCTTGAACACACACACACACACACACACACACACAAAATATGTTGTTGGGATTTCTCAGTTCCTTTTTCATAACATAACTTCTGCTGTACTTCCATGCCCTGATCAAGAGATATTCAATAACTTACTTTGCCAAACCTTTATTAGGCATTACAAATATAGCCCATCATAAAACATCCATATATAATTTATTAAAATATATAAACAAATAAACAGCCATGTAAACATAGCTGTCAATGTTTCCCTTTTTAAAATACAACAGGCTGGGGGGAGGAGGATCTAAGACCCCTAACTGTAGTGTTACAGATGTGTATGTGAGATGCTTGTACATAAAATATAAGTGGTCTAAAATGTCATCAGTACTACATGTTCTGATGGCAACAGATCTATTGGTAGTGGAGGGGTATGGGGCTAATTCAGTCAGATGCCTCCTTCCTCCTGCTAAACTGGGGTTTCTGAAATTTCGGTCTCCAGCTGTTTTTGGACTACAATTCCCATCATCCCCTACCACTGGTCTTGCCAGCTAGGGATGATGGGAGTTGTAGTCCAAAACAGCTGGAGACCAAAGTTTGTGGAACCCTGTGGTAAACAAACGATCAGGGCTGTCAGCTTCAACAGTATTGGCCATCTGTGTGTGTGTGTGTGTGTGTGTGTGAGAGAGAGAGAGAGAGAGCTTATTACACGCTTTTTTAGTTGTTTGATGCTTAGACCGTCCTACTTTATCATAAGCAATTGTAACTGTTGCTTTCTGACAAACTGCTAATGGGCTGAGCTAGTCACGCAACCATTTGCAAACTATTCCCTATATGAGAAGGATAGTTCTGTTCCCATTTTACATCATTACCTGAGCATCATAGCTGATGCTTGACCTTTCAGTGCTTAATGCTGCGTTGCTCAAGATTCAGTGGGAAGTTACGTTGAAACCTAAGACCCTTTGCAATTAATTTGTTAAATAACAAAATCCATTAGAAATGCTAAGTGAATCTTAATTCACTCAATGCCATCAATAGTCAATTGCTTGTGAAATACAAAATAAATAATGTGCTCTCAAATTCAGTGTCAATCTTGATGGAGAGCTGTAGAGGAAAGATCGGTTACTGTAACCTCTTCAAGGGACATTTGAAGAAACTTGTAAAATATAATATGGATTCCATGATTAAGGCAATTCTAGCTGTTAGTAATGTATGTATCTAGGACAGGCTCAATTTCATCACTATGATCAAGGGCTAGGACTGCATTCATTCCAATCTAGCTCTCCAACAAATTGCTAATACATTTTGTTTTAGCTTAGAAGCTATTTCCTGGATCCTCTTTTGCTCATTTCCTCCTCCATCTGTATTCATTAGAGTTTAAAAGGAACATCCTGTGTATAACGATGGCAAGCTGTAGACCAATATTATTTGCTTTTAAAGAGGGAAAACAAGATAATTCCATGTGATATAATGAACGCGTTTACACCTGACTGAATGAATTTGCTGCATAAAAGCTCTGTAGGAGAACAAACGTTTAAAATGATAGCATTTTAACTATATATGTTCTTCATTGTCTTTTTTTAAAAAAACCACACTCCCAGAATAATCATCAGGCCACAGTCTGACAGTAATTTTGTGTGTGTGTGTGTGTGTGTGTGTGTGAATGTCAGATGTGAAACTAGTGCACTAGGGATTTCAGAAAGAAATATTGCTGTCAGTGCTAGTGGAAATGCAATACTTTAAGCACACAAAAAAGGATACGGGATATGGGAAGCAACCTACAGTGTGACTTGACCTCTTGCGGGGGGGAATGGAGAAGAGAAAACCCCAGCTTTTTGAAGATGCTGCATTGTTCAAAGAAATTCCCTGAGAATACTGTTGCTACCACCACCATAAGTCTGTCTCAATGCAGCCTCAGCTCTGAATACCAACCGAAATAACATTCATTTCAATTAAGAAAACAAAGCAGAAGAGAGAGAGAGATTAAGAAATGATTTGATGGAGACAAAAGAAATCTCTGGCACTCAAAATTTCTCAAAACTTATTTATCATGCAAACCTTGATGCCTATACAATTCCAGTCTTCTCCAGGGACTCATATTCAATTTAAGCTATAAAAGTGCTTATAACTTTGGTGAGGAAGATCTGTACACGTTATATAAAGCCTTTTCATGTAAGATTCATTTTTATGATAATTCCCAGTAGTTGTTTTTGGACAGTATACTTTTTTATTAGTCCCAAGAGAGGAAAAAAAATGTGTTTTGTCCTTTTTGCCATCATCTCAGATTCTATGAAAGCAGTTAAAAGTATAGACCAGTAGGAATTTTACAGAATCCTACCTTGATTTGGGTTAGAAACCCCAAGGGAAGATATATTCGGCCATATCCTATCAAACTTTGGAGGAGCTGCATATATCAGGAAAAATCAGGATTTGTTATTTACATCTGCTGATAGATATTTTTTATTTGTTTTATTTCTAAACAGACGTGTATGGAGAAAAACATAAAGCACAAACATCCATTACTGGACTTTGTCAATGACACACTTGGACAATACATCAAGGCCACATTGAACAAGAACAAGCAATTGATGATTCCCAAAACATTGAATGGACATTTACATCTTTTGTGTGCACGTGTGTGTGTGTGTGTGTGTGTGTGTGACATTTCAGCTTTTATAATGTAACATTACCAATTTTGATGTTAAAATATGTATTACAGGAAGGGACACTGGATAACAGGACCTCTCTAATAACTAGGTTCTATGGGGTAAGGCTAGAAACTCATCTGTCAAAGATGATGTTTAGGGATGGTAGATGGGGCAGTGGAGAGGAGAGGATAGGCTCTGCTCTTTGATTTGTGCCATGTTTGATGATTCCTCGGGAACACTTATATCTCTGGCTAACTTGCTAGTTGCACACATTAAATGATATTGTTATAAACAATTACATGGGTGAACATACTAGGCATACATGCCAAAGACGCCAGTCCAAAGAAAGATGACTTTGACTAACGTTGATAACACTGCTTTTTATTTGGCATATAAACAACACATCTGTGATGATGGCCCATTCATTGTTCTAGTCATCCAAGTGATGAATGAACACATGTGGACCAGTCTTAACGAGAACCCTACAAACAGACACTTCCATTTTGCCCGCAAATGTAGTGAAGCAAATAAACAAATTATCAACACTTCCTATTTAAAGCCATACTCTAAATATAAAATCAGAGTATGAGCCTAGGATAGCAAAGACATTTTACATAATTTTTGGTCCTCCATGCTCTTGGAAGCTAGACAAAGCCAGGTTTTCAAAAATTATAGCAAAAGATTTAAAAATAAGTAGACTGGGGTTTCTAGAGAGAATGAATACACTTGATTTCTTATAATATCCAGTGAACTATATATACAGAAAGCAACTAAAGGAAAAAAAAATACTTATGTGATAGCAGAAAAAATCACTAAGTTTCTATGAACTTGTTGATCACTGTTTTGCTTTCTGATGAGAATTATCAAAGGATTTTTTTTATGTCCTTAGCATTAATTTGAAGTATTGCCTGGTAATTCTGATTTATTTCAGTGTAATCAGAACTGCTACATGTTAAAAGGGATTCCTCACTGGTCATCTGCCTTACTTGGTTAGGATCTACACACATATATTTGTGATATCGAATGCTGGTCAAACTCAGAGTAGACCCATTGGAATCACCTTCTATATATGTGAGTGTGTGCATTACAAACACAGGCACACACACAATCTCTTTTTCCGCATTGCCCTGGCAGAAATAGAAAATATGTCCTCCACAGCTGTTCTTTAGCTGCAGTAGTGTGTCTGTCTTTCTTCATTAAAACATTCCCATTATGTGTCTTATTTCACTCATGCTAATGACAACAAAAATCACAGGAAAGAAGCACCAATGAAATAAAATTTTGCTTAATGTGAAATAATAATAATAATAATAATAATAATAATAATAATAAAAAATCTAACATTTTATTGCATTTCAACATGTTTGGGACATTTATCAACTAGAGAAGTTACAGCATTTTTGTGAAGGTATGATTTTCTGTAACCATATTTCACATGCTTCCTCCCCACCACCCCTGATCCTCACACTGTAATTGGTTTCCTGTTTAAAGGCAAGAGATCTGACTTATGTGTGCATGGTTCTCAGTTGTAAGACTTGACACCTTGATGAATTGTGCATTGTTTCTGCTTTGGAAAGGGGCAAGTTGCAGGGTAGAATGTTTGGATATTATTTTGGACTACTGATCAACATGGCAGGCTACTACTACGTTTGTTCCTTGTGCAAAGCAACCGGTTCACCAATTTTAATGAAGAAATCAAGCTATTTTGTGCACCCCCTGCTATTCGATTAAATAGACTCAATAGTTTAATGTCTTGTGCAACATGGCAGAGCTCTGCCCCAGTCTTTTCTTTAAAACAAAACAAAACCCCGGCAATAATTTGTTCATTATACACACTTATCAGTTGAAGTTCAGAACATCAGGTTGCCTACCCTGATCTAGTGGATTAATTGGGTAACAGCAATTTTTTGAGAGTGCAATTCTAAGCCTCTCTGTTGGTGGTTGAATGGGGATGGAGCTCATGTTTTTCTCCACCAGTGAAGAGTGCCACTGGTGCTGATGAGACTCTGCTGCAGGCTGGTATATGAGGCGCTGGTGGCTTTTGGAGTGGAATACCAGTAATCAATGTATCCATAGCCTGTGGTTCACCTAAGGGACTTGATTCATGAGTTCCACATCTTCACCAGTCTGGAGCTGGCACAGCAAATATATAAAAAGAAGATATATATATATGATCTTTCCCCACTCCCTGTTTTGCTCTGGCCATTTATGTAAAAAAATAAATTCTATACTACTTTGTAGGTCAATTGCCTCACAAAGTGGTGTGCAATCAATAAAATACTTAAAAGGCAATCAATACAACATTATAATAACCTCTCATTAAAACCTTTCTTGCTTGTGGCCCTGGGTTTGGATTGCTTTGGCTGTTAATCTTCAGTTGTGCAATGCAATTTTATGTATGACTGTCCTGAAAGAAGTCCTCCTGGGTTCAGTGGGTCTTATTCCCTATACGTTTATTTAGAGTTGCAGTCTTGGTCACATTTGACCTTTGAACTGTCTAATATCTCCTCCTCCAACCTTGTGATGCCACAAAAAAACCCACATCTCACTGAATAGGGTTTTGGTATCTACCCCTTTATCCATGAGAGCTAGATTTCAGAGGTTCTTAAAGATATCTTTATTAGTCACATCCTGTTACATTCTCAGCCTATTTTGATCTGCTCCTCCCATCTCCTACTTCAACTACTGGATCCTTCAAGCATCTTCCTTTAAAAATAATAATGGTACAGAGCCTGTTCAGCTTTAGATTGAAGCTGCTTCCACTGGGCTGAACCTTGAATTATTTTTAAGCCTTGTTCCACCGCCAGTATATCAATTATTACATTTTCCCCCTGTGACAAATATGGCCCTCATTCTAGGCATTGAGCTTTTCATTTTTCCCCCAATTTGTGGCTGGATACAGCATGAACACTACCCAATCTCTGCACATTTGGCTTTAAAAAAATGCTTGAATAGTGGGATGAAAACTTCTGAGTCACTCAGAGATTCTTCTGGAGGCTGCCTGTGAAGTCTTTAGGTAACTGGAAAAGATGACTCATTCTCAACAGGCTTCAATCAGAATCCTTTAATAGCCAGGCCATATAATAGCCACTCATTCATTTACCGCAATTTGTTAAGAACTCTCTTTTCCTGAGCAGCAGGAAAATAACATAATAGTTCTGAGATCTCTGCAGGGGTATAGGTAAGTCTGAGGAGAAAGATATTGAATTGTAAAATGCAGCTGGTGATCTCAAAGGGCTGTTTTTTTATTATTAAAAAGTGCAGGGGTTATGGATATGCACAAAGACAGAACTTTTTATTTATTAAATTTATATGCTATTCCATTTCCTCCAGAGATGAAGTTGAGATACTTTTAATCTGATTTAGCATTGTAACTTTCGTATGTTTTAAAGTATGGCCGTACGTCTGTCTTAATTTTATTTTTTTATGAACTGCTTAGAGGGTTTTTAATAATAATAATTAAGTGGTGTATAAATATAAATAAATGACATTCAGAAAGTACCCACATAGTTTACCATTCAGGTACTGACAAAGATTTGCTTTGCTTTTGTAAAATTGTCTTCAGCAGCTGTGTTTTTTTGAAAGAGATGTTCAGATTCTGATGATTTTTTTTTAAAAAAAATCACCCAATGCCATATAAAACATATTCATACTTAATTATTATGTTTTGGGCTTTATGCTGAACAGCGTGCTGTGATAGTTGCTAGCAAATATTTTTAATTATTTTGATTAAGACATGTATACAGGATATACAACATATGCAAAATATAATAATAATAATAATAATAATAATAATAATAATAATAATAATAACAACCAAATGCAAGCTTTCATACCAAAAATAGGTAAGCTATAATGTTATCAGTTACTCCAAATTATGTAAAGTGTGTGGGAAGTATATTATTATAAAATGCTTAGCTCACTGTGCTTATCAGCCCCACTCCTCTGGGGAATTTCTTATGGTTATTTTGATATCAGTAGTACGGGTCAGAGCTACACAACTTGCTAAACAAAATGCATCTATGATATATGGTGATTTTTTTCCCTTGCTGGAAGCGAAACCAGGAAATTTACTGAGCCACTAGTGGATGATTGCACATGGCTGGCGACCTGTGTTAGGCTTTGTGGGTCAAAACTGAAAGTCCACTGAAAATACGGCAGGCTTCCTCAACCTCGGCCCTCCAGATGTTTTGAGACTACAATTCCCATCATCCCTGACCACTGGTCCTGCTAGCTAGGGAACATGGGAGTTGTAGGCCAAAAAACATCTGGAGGGCCGAGGTTGAGGAAGCCTGAAATCTGGCATACCCTCCAACATTTCTCCGATGAAAATAGGAACGTATAATAATAATAATACCCCTCCCATCTGACTGGGTTGCCGCAGCCACTCTGGGTGGTTTCTAACATTTATAAAACATTAAACATTAAAAAAACTTCCTTATACTGGGCTGTCTTCAGATATCTTCTAAAGCTTGTAAGATTACTTATTTCCTTGGATTGGGGGTTGCATAACTCCACACTCTCCAACCTTTCTCTGATGAAAATAGGGACGTTCTAAGGAAAAACAGGACATTCCAGGATCAAATCAGAAACCGGGATGGCTTCTGTAAATCCGGGACTGTCCTTGGAAAATAGGGACACTTGGATGGTCTGATATGGAGATCAGAATGAGGCCAGAGGATGCGATACCGCTCCCTGTTCTATCTGTTCTGTATATATGGAAGAAAGGAATGAACAAGACTATATTTGGCATGTGATGAAAGGTCTGAATGTTTAACAGGGCTAATGGCATGTTTTGGTCATGGTATGGTCTACTAGACAGGTGTCTATAATGTAACACATATCAACCAACCAATCACCATTCACTCCTTTTTCTCCACAATAGGCATTGCACTAATTAATGGAATTAATTAATTATTCTTGGTTCTTACCTTAGCCAAGAACAGATGTAGACTTTTAAGGGTGGTTCACATAGTCACTTGGCAGAAAAATGGCCAGAGACACAAACATAATTGATGAATTGGGTGTTTGTTTGAGGGTGGTGGGCAGCACATGCTGGATCCTTGCCTAGGTGAGAGTAAATTGGCACCCAAATGATGTTTTTCTATAATAAAAGTGAGGGATATGACTGGTAGTGAGTGACATGTGGTGCTGCACAAGATGAATCTTTAGACAACTAAATATGTTATATGGCCAAAACATACATAGCACATGATATCTGTGATTGGCTCTCCTGATTTTTTCGCCTTTGAGAACTTTCACCCATTTTTGAGGGGTGTAGGGGTTGTTGATGAAGAAAGGGGGCGTCTCTCCCTTCTGCTTTTTGCCTTTCAGAAGATCAGGGAGAAGTTCAGCAGTGTGGGAAGAGCTGTTACAAGGATTCGTGCTGTGTTTTGTTGGCTGGCCTCCACCATTTATATTTTCCAATATTGCCTCAGAAAAATGTTTCATTGTGACATATTGTCATCCTCAGCAGCATTCTGGGAAGAAATTGGTCCCCCCCCCCCGTAGCTCCTAGCAAAGCTTTTAAAAAATGAGGGCTGACTGCCTTAGAAGTCATGAGTTTAACTTCTCCCACCATTGAAATTCAGTCCCCAGGCCCTGAAAATATGGAAACACCTATCCACTTTCATAACCTTTGAATGGGTCACAAAAAAGCCCTGGTTATATGTTCCCATGCCTGTCCACAGTTAAGTTGGACCCTAGAACCTACACTGGCAGAACGGGTGGGGTGGGGGGAATGTGCCCATAGAGGAATCAACAGCTATGCTTCTCATAGCATGGAGATAAACATTGTCACTAATACCTGCTAAAGACACAGCTACAACACAGCTACAAGTTGGCAACGCCAGCTGTGAGCTATCTTTTTAATCAGATATGTGTTTGCTTCCTCCAGTACCAAGGTGGATAACTCTGAAAACTACTGGCAGATGGGTTTCCCTAAGGCACATGTACAAAGAAATGAGTGACCCCTTTGTTTTTTTCCAGAGATAGCTATGTGAAATCTGTGGGCTCTCAAACCTCAGGAACCAGATTGTTGCTAGAGTGATCAGATGCAAAGGAGGAAAGGGCCTGTGTACCTTTAGCGGTGGTAGAGGAGAGGGATTTCCAGCAGGTGTAACTTTCCCTCACCCCTATCTGACAAGCTGCATCTGCTAAAATTCCCTCTTCTCCACACCTATTAAAAGCACAGGAGTCCCATCTTTCTCTTCATCTGGTCACACTAATTGCTGCTGCCCTTAGGCCTCTTCCGGGGAAAGAAAGTGAGCACTGGGGTTGCTAGGCAACCGCTCCTGGTCTGCTTACCGAGAAGAGAGAAGCAGGAAATTTGTTAAACTATTCCAACTGCCTGCCTCCCTCCTTCATGACAGAGGACTGTGTAAAACGTATAATTGCATACCAGTGCGCCTTAGGCTGGGGTGGGAAACCCCGTGGTCCTCTGGAGGTTGAAGCCCAAATCCCATCAGCTTCAGCCAGCTTGGCATATAGTCGGGACAGATGGGAGCTGTAACCCAACACCTGCAGCTCCCTGTGTCTCTTCCATCCCCTGCCTTAGGCCCAACTGCGGACATTTTAATAATATATTTAGTCTTTTCTGAATGTTCACTGCAATACTTACGGTAGGATACTTGTAAGCCGCTTAGGGATACCCCCCTCCCCAAATGTAAAGGTAGACCATGACTTAAAGTTGACATGTATTTTAGCTGATAATGTATGGGCAAAATTCAACTAAGGAGATCTATAAGCAGAAGCCCTGTGCAAGGACTTCTTATTGGACAATGGGGCTGTTCCCCATCCTCCCTCTGTGGTTTGGGTTCGGGAGATGCTCCACCACTTGGGCAAATAAGAGAGTGGGGATCATTCTGTTTAGCAAGCCGAAATGCTCATGCAGCCTGAACATTCAGAATAGTACAATGGTGAAGTCCACTCTTCATTTTCAACTGTTGTTTTTTTTTAAAAAAAACCAACAACTGTTAATTCTGATTTTTAATGACAATTTTAATGTATACTTTATATTCTCCACAAACCTCTTGGGAGATTTTATTTACAGTTAGGCAGCACATGCATTTTCTGTCTCATTCTGTTTTGTTTGCTTGGAGCAAGGGACTGGGTTACTGTTCACACTTGTGAACGAACCTGAAACTGTCCTTTGGTTGGGCTGTTTTTCATCAGAAAGGCTTGTCTGATTCTTAGGGCAATGTTCCAAGCAGCACAGTGGCTGTGTCTAGCCACATTTAATTTCCCACAGCACCCCAGGGTCTGAGAATTGCTTAAGTGTCTGCTGTACAAGGGAGGAGGATGGGAAGCAAACCAGAGCAAGTTGAATCTGCTTCAAGTGATGTCCCTGGCCTGGCCTCTCATTAATTGCCCTGCTCACCCACCCTACCACTGGTAAACTGCATTGTGCTATTCCAATTCTCTTCTAGTGCCAGTGTTGGATTAAAGTAAAAGGTACCCCTGCCCGTACGGGCCAGTCTTGACAGACTCTGGGGTTGTGCGCCCATCTCACTCAAGAGGCCGGGGGCCAGCGCTGTCCGGAGACACTTCCGGGTCACGTTGCCAGCGTGACAAAGCTGCATCTGGCGAGCCAGTGCAGCACACGAAACGCCATTTACCTTCCCGCTGGTAAGCGGTCCCTATTTATCTACTTGCACCCGGGGGTGCTTTCGAACTGCTAGGTTGGCAGGCGCTGGGACCGAGCAGTGGGAGCGCACCCCGCCGCGGGGATTCGAACCGCCGACCTTTCGATCGGCAAGCCCTAGGCGCTGAGGCTTTTACCCACAGCACCACCCGCGTCCAGTATTGGATTAGTAGCGCCCCGATCATCATATTAAGTTATGCACGCAGCAGCAGCAAAGCTCTGCAAGGATATTCTGAGCTCACCTGCTAAAAAATGGCTGTGAAGGGATGGGGTTCAGAAATTCAAAAAGTGGCCTGCATTGAAAACATTTTGGGGCATCATAATCCTCATCGATTACTGGTTGGTTTACAACATAAAAATATAAAATGCATAGCATAGTAGCAGAACACTCTATAGACATATTATATATTATAGGGTATGGTTTTCCTAATATAACACTATCTAGCTATATCACATGGCCACATTCAAGTTTATTTTCTCTTACTGCCCAATCCTAGGTGTGTTTATACAGACGTATGCTCCAAATAACTCAGAGGGACTTGCTAGGAAAACATGCCTAGGATTGGGTTCTTAGCTGTCTTAAAGTGAAGACAAGATTCTTCACTTTAAGAGTTTCATTCCATTTCCCACTCTGGCCAACCTTTTGCTGCTGAATATGTTTTGAATTGTAGTTCTTCTATAATGACTACAACCAGATCCAGTGTGAGAGTAAATATTGTAGGAAACTGTTAAGATAAGCTTACTGGTGCAAAAGCTAGAGTCAGGAGAAGTTATAATACGGTGCACAGGAGGTAGGGAAGAGCCCTCAGCAAAGTGTGACAACTTTTGTGTGTGAGAAAGGAGAGGAGAATGTGAGAACAGGAGTGTTACAAGTCTCAAGGGTGTCCCTATTTTCATCCATGAAATGCTGGAGGATATGATAACACAGAAATGAAATGATGTTTTCTTCCCATTTCTTCTTTCAATAAGAACCCCTGCAATGCTTCAGAGATAATCCCATACCTCTTAAAGTACAGGAACATAAGACTAAACCTGCTCAATCAGACCAAAGGTCTATGTAGTCCAAGCTTTCTCTTTGTAGCCAGCCAGATGCCTCTGAGATATCGAAAAAGCAGGACATGAAAGTTACAGCGACTAGCAATCATACAGACATCGTAACTATTAGCTAGTGAAGGCTTTTCCTCTATGCATTTATTTAATCGCTTTTTACAACTGCCTTAAGTTAGTGGCTGTGTCATGTTTTGTGATAGGGAATAAGAGTCAACCTACACAGGCAGCAACAGAATCACTTGATACAACTTTTTTACTTGGGCTGTAGCACTTTCTACTCATGACAGGAGACCTCAGGTGTAGGCACTGTTGTACAAAAAGGAAACTTTCTGTGAATGGCTGATAAAATAAACACTCTGGTAACAAATCTCAGCATAGTTTATGGCCAGAATGGTTTCCCTAACACTCTTGAAAGAAGAGTGGGCAGGAGGGAAATCTTTCAGTGTCTCTGAATATTAGCTCTTTGGCAACTTCTGAATCCTCCTTTCCACAGAGCAGAAGATTTCATTTTTTCACAGAGGTACCCAAACTTGAGATCCCACTGTAGCGTATTTTTAAAACCAATGTTGGCCTCAAGTTATGTGGTCGACTTGCTGCCAGATTGACGAAACAGACCACCTTGCAGAATGGTTGTGACATAAGTAATGATTGCTTCCCTTCCCAGTATCTCATAATTCTAGTAGCAGGATCAGAGAAGTTTAAAAAAACACAGTTTAAAAAATTAAAATTAAAAAGCCCTTTTTAAAAAAGAAAGTTTCATTTGAAACCGTCTGGTTTGAAAAAAAAATGCTAACATGACACAAGCATGCTTTATGTAACTAGGAGCTAATAATGCAATTCTAACCATGTCTACTCAGAAGAAAATTCAGCAGACCTTATTCCCAGGTACGTGGGGTTAGGACTGCAGCCAACAGATCTGTTTCTTATGGGTATGCTTTATTTAAAATGAGGGTGAATGTAATTTAGAGTGTAACAACCCAGCATTTGGCATATGATATCAGTAGCATTTTTCTCTGAATATAGCTTTTTTACTTGGGACGGAGGTGCTGGAAAGCCTTTTCTGTTGCTGCCCCCTCCTTTTTACTTCATTCTCTACAAATCTTTTCCCATATCTGGTTAATTAATGTATGTGTGCAGTATACAATCAATTTGTACATCTCATTAGTGTGAATTATTATGCCGAAGACAACTAGGCTTGCCAATATTGTAATTGATTACCGTAGCTGTGACTTTAACAGCAGCTTGTCATTCAGACATTAGCAAGTGATTATATTTTTCTCCATGCTGTGAAAAGTGTCACCTGCAGATTATTATTTTTTGCACACCAAGCAACCACTAAAGCCAGAAGAGGCGGCCTGTCTAGGCTTGTTTTAGCCAGTTGTCAACATCATAGGCAGTATTATTTATTACCGAGCAAACGAAATGGTTAGGAGAATTGAAAATCTTCTAATGCAAACAGAAATTATCTTGATTAGAACTATTAAATCAGTAGTATACCTTAGTTTCAACATTTATCTGCAATTGAAGATGGTGTCAAATCAAAGAAAATTATATTGGGTATGTAACAGCTCCCACATGATCACATTTGAAGAAAACAAAACACACAGTTCTTAACAAATACAGGCACCTCCCGATTTGTGTGGGGGTTGAGTTCCAAGTCACTGCGTGCTTGTGTGAAATCATGTGCAATCTAAACACCCCATTCTGCCCCTGCTCTGTTCTGCCCCACCCCGTTCTGCCCTTCTAGTGATGTATTTTATAATGTTTCTGGGTCACTTCCAATTTTAGTGCTGTGTGTGCATGCCTAAAATGGGGGTTGCCTGTAAACAACTCCCTTCACCCTATGTTGCACCCGAAAGGGTGGAATTCGGCATAGTTGTAAGTAGGGTAAATATGAACAGACGGAGGTCTGCTCATGCAACAGGGCTTTCCTTATCTCCCTCAAACCCACCTAAACCTCTTCTGTGAGTTCCCCAAACTTCCAGTGAAGATTTAGGAGGTACAGAGGGAGGAGAACAGGGAAAGTCCCTTTGTATGAGCGGACTTCGTTCCACTTATGCAACAACTTAGTTGAATCCTGGCCTAAGACATTTATGCTTACTTAGGAGTTAGATGCCCTTCAGTGTAATTCTGTATGTAACTCCAGGTAGATTCAGTGGGACTTACTCCTAGGTAAGTGTACATAGGATTGAGCCCTTAACGCATGGCTTCAGTAACATCCATGCCACACAATGACTCTTGGCCACAATGGATCACTTGTGTGGGGTGGTGACGCGCCCCCCCCCCAAGAATCCCAGGAACTGTAGTCTCTGAAAGGTGCTAGCAGTTGTAGCTCTGTGAAGGACAGTTCCCAGGATTCTCTTGGGGGAAGTGCTTTAAATGTATGTTATGTATGCAGCTTTAATTGAGGGAAACTTTACATGAACCTCCAGTGGTGTGGGATAAACCACAGTGGCAGCGGCAGCAACCACGTTGCTAACTCCTATTATACATATTGGATCCGACTCCATAAATGGGCCTATCTCCCACTCAGCTTAGTGGCAATTACTTCTAAATAAATATGCACAAGACTGGACTGTTTGTTTGTTTCTTTATAAATCCTTCAGCCTCTAGTGTTGGACGTGGTTCTTGGAGAGCACTTTGCTGGGTGGGCGGCAGGGCTCTTCAGAATTGGTGCCAGCCTTACATACAATATTAATTTATCTATTTCATTGTTTATGAAAAGTATTTATATCCTATCCTTCACCCCAATGTGGAGTCTATTAATAAAGTAGTACAATGACAAATGTCAACATGGCATGCAAAGTATATTAGGTTTGATATCTCAAGGACTAATTGGGAAACAGTTGTGTGTCCCTGCCCTCGTGTGTTTGTTTGTGTGTGTTGTTGTTGTGTGGTGGTGTATGTGTTGGGATGGGTCCTTTATAGCACCCTGGCCAAACACTGCACCTTCTGTTACCACGATACCCCCAGACCCCCCCCCCGCAATAATTCCCTGTGGCAGAGGGACTTTGCTATTGGTTGGTTTACCACATTGCCAGCTTTCTAAAGACAACTGTCTTTCACTGTACAAAACAACACTTAGTGATTGCTGATCCACAGCCACTCATGCAGTAAGGGATAGTTGTTCTTTTTCAAGTGGAAAACATGAAGTAGTAGTAAGCTGGTTTTGAGAATTGACTCTGATATACTTCCTAACATGGTTTTAGAATGTTTGGCAGATTTTCGAGTCCAAACTTCATGCTTCACTTTGCATGGTCATAAGCGTCTATCCATTTTTAGGAGTAAGTCTAAGCATGGACACATTTTGGTGCAATTGTCTACTCTTAAGTCATACTCAAACTAATGCCATAAGCAATATTTTCTGAAAAGGACAATCATCAGTTAGTTTTCCCAAAACAACAGCATCATCATATTTCTTGTACAAATACTATATATTATGACCAGAGTAGATATGTCAATTAACACGTCAATTTCACTTTCTCATTTTCCCAACCTTAAATTTGGTTCATCCCCTTTCCTTATTTGCAAAATAAGAGGGGGGAAAGTCTGCACAGGAATTTTTCTGCATTTTTGCATCCCTTGTCTTACTAAACACATTTTAACACAGTTTTGCCTAATTTATACATTTTTGCAAGCAGTTTCTCCTGATATAATATAGACGTGTATGTCATTTTGCCTAATATATTTATTTTTGTATCACAATTTTTGGATGGAGAACAGAATGCCACTTGAAAAAAGAGTCACTTAATACTTGGGAAAGTGTAAACTAGATTGCTCACATTAAAATGTGAACCAAATTTCTCCCCTTCTCCTATGTAGTG